CGCGCGCCCTCCCGGGGCGGCCCCGGCGGGCACCGAGCTACGGGCAGCGCGCCCCGGCGGGGAGGGCGCGGCCACGGGAGGGCGCCGGGCGGGGCGCGCCGCAACTTGACCGGCCCGGCGCCGCCCGCCCCGCCCCGCGGAGAGCGAAACTCGGGCGGGGGCTGGAGGGGGCGGGCCGAGGCGACTTCCCGGAGCGGCGGAACCGCTGAGGTCACCCTCGCCACCCCTTCCCGGCCCGCCCCGCCCGGCTCGGCCCCTCGCGCCGACAGCGGGGGCGCTGGCGTGGGAGTGGGCTTTGGGGCGCAGCGCGGAGGCTGGGGGGTCTCTCGCGATACTTGCCGCCTCGGCCTCGGTGCCTCCCCCGTGGAGTCCCAGCTGCGCCCGTCTGCAGAGACCCCTGCAGAGGGCCCGCTCCCGCCCAGGCCTGCGCTGGGGCGGTCACCCAAAGGCACCGCCGGACCCGGGCTCCTGCCACCTCGCAGGTCGCAGGCCCGGGGATGGGGGAGGGGCGCATGGGCGGCTCGTAAATTTTGGGAAAAAATGACATCTCCTTTTCCTTTGAACGCCTTCTTTTGAATTTAAGTTAATTCGGCTGGGACCCTCTTCCAAATACTCAAGCGGGATCTCGACCTCGGAGTCCAGACGGGCGACTCCCACCCTCTCAGCAGAGCCCAGCCCAGCGTGGACTGGGGACCAGCGCTCTGCGCTGCTGCCCGGCTCGGAGGACAGCACGTCCCGGCAGACCCGGCGGGGTGGGGGCGACACACGCGGTAACGGAGGGAGGCGGAAGCCCTCCAGAGCCCGGGTCAGGCTGGAAAGTGTTCAAAGAGGAGGAGACAGCCAAGAAGGGCCAGGACCGTGTCCTGGGCAGGGTGTTCCCGGAGGAGAAGCAGCATGAAGGTGTGAGAGGAGACACCTCGTTCTGGGATGAGGAAATAGAAACAGAACGACCAGTCTGGGGGTCATACTGCTAACCCTGGAGTCTTTTCCGGGGCATGACCAAAGGGGCTGCCCTGCGCCAAGCAGGTTTGAAGGCACTTCGGACCAGCGCCGGGACCATCTTCACAACAACGCCTTAACCAGATGCTCTTACTTTTATCCCTTTTTGGTGAGGGAGGTTAGGGAAGGCGCCCAGGGCCACACAACGGGCGGTCAGTCTGTCAGTCTGCACAGCCCGGAGCAGGGAGATGGAGGATGTGGGGGCCGAGTGGGCCAGGGCTGGTGCAGCGGGCTGGGGGCAGAAAGGAGACTTTGACCCCGGATTGGGGGGTCTGTGGGAGGGGCTGGATTACAAGGGGTAGGTCCCTGGCCAGGTGTGCGTGGCGGGAGGAGTGGAGCCCACCGGAGTTATGTCTTAAGTCTGTGAGAAGGAAAGCCGCATTGTTACACTAAAAAATTATTCCTTGTTTGACCGGATGTCCTGCATTTTTATGTCCTCAGTCTGGCAACTGCACCTTGGAACCGTGGAATCACACTGCGCTCACAGCCACTCGGACCGGCCGAGTGACAGCAGAGGCCTGCCTCCCTTGGACGGCCGCCCACTCTGAGGACCCTTAGGAGGCCCAGCACCCCTTCCTCTGCCCATTTAAATAATTACGTCCTTCTCCCCAGCCCCCACCAGGAATGGCTGCATTCCTGTAAGTTCAAGGTGAACCCTGAGGGACTGCCCCCTTCCCCTTCCGGCCCTCCCTGGGTCAAAGCCCTGCCCCTCTCCTCCCAGCCTTGAGCTCCACCAACCCCCGACCTCTTTGAACCTTGATAACTCTCATCTGCAAAATGGGGACCCGAGTGCTTCCCAGGTCTTCGTGAAAATTAACTGCAGGGCCTGGCACTCAGAGATCTCAGGGCCTTTGCACTGCTGGTCACTCACATTCTGGAATGTTCTCCAAAATGCCCTTCATTGGCTCCTGTTCATCCCTCCCTCTGCTCAATGTCACCTCCTCGGCCAGGGTGGTATTTCCTGAGCACCTAGCGAAGATTCCTCCCTACCTCCGGCGGCCCATCCTCCTCTCCTGCCTGAGCCTAGTGGGTGTGCACTCGATGTCTGTTGAGTGAGTGCACGGCGGTGGCTTCTGTGAGGGATGGGAGCTGCTTCCACCATTCCTCCAGCACTGCCTCCCACGCCCCAGCCCAAACCGAGCACCTGAGGTGGGGAAGGGCAGTCCATGCAGTGGCTCTGGCTGACAGGCCAGCAGCTCCCCACCCAGGCTGGGGGCGTGTGCCCTGCCTGCCCTGCCTGTTCGCGGACAGAGCAAGCCTTGGGCATTTGATAGAGGTAGTGGTCAGGACGCTGCCTGCAGGAGCTGGGATAAGATCTAGAAGGTCCAGCTAGGGACAGGCCAGAGTGGGGGAGGGGACAGTGGGAGCAACATCTGAGTTCTAGTCACTCCTGTCCCCACGCTCTAGGATGGGCTGTCCCAGGAAGCCCATTTGGGTCCTGGAAGCCCCACCAGCCTGCAGCCCTCAGATCCCCTCTCCACTGGCTCCGTCTCGGGCGCAGGGATGACAGGAGGCTGTCATGGAGCCACAGTCGTGGTGGCACAGCAGCCATCTGGCCTGGGAGCTGCCCCAGGGCTCAGCCCTGCAGCTGCTGCTGAGACCACGCAGCCCTGGGCCCTTGAGTCCTGCCCCATGGCCGGCAGCTGCGGGAGGTGACAGGGCGAGAGGTCGCTGGAGGGGACAGGTGGTACCCTCCTTGGGGCCAGGTGCAGCAGTTTTTGCTGGAAACACCTGGCCATAGAGTCCCTAAAGTGGCCATTCCATCGGGCTGGGGTGGGGTGTGTTCTCGAAGAGAGGGCTCTGCTTTCCCTGCAGGAAGCCAGAGGAGAGGGGGCTGGCCCTGTCCTCCAGGAGACCCCAGTCTTGAGGGATGGCACAGACGTGAAAACAGGACT